AAATGTGGGGAATAAATAATAAATACATGAGATTTTGTGCGTGACGCTCGTGCGTGACCCTTTATGTTGAATTTATTACTGGGGTGAAAAGAAAACCAATATTTCTATAGGAGTGTGCAATTGTGAATTATAAACCCATTTCCTTAAACAATTCACCTTCAAGTACAATCATATTGTAAAAGTTTTGCTATCAATGAGAAATAAAAAAATAATATTTTAAAAATTAAACATTTATGACTGGCTAGTAGTACTGACAGGGTTGTTTTAATTTTGGTTAGGCATAGGAAACCTTTTTCGTTACAGAATGTAACAATTAAAAAAAAAAGTTTAAATTATAAAAATACTGTCCTTTAATTTACATTGGAGAATTTACACTAGGCAACTGACAAAAGGCAATGACAATATTTTTTTAGCAGTCGATGCAAAAATAGTCTACTCCTATACACTACTACTAAATTCAAATAAAAAAAGTTCCGTAATATTGGCGACCACTATCGACTCATGACTGACCATTATTCACAGACATTCATCTTTTTTTTTCTGCCCTGACACGTCACGTGCGTTTGAAGAATTTTATTACATTATGACCTTCTATATTCGTTTATATTGCAAAAGGGACCGTATACTTTAATATAAGATATGTCTAACCGCTGGACATTAGGTGAATGAACTTCATCACCATATCCTTACTTACAACATATCTGTTCAAAATCATATCCAGATCCATCCAGGCTGTAGCGAGTTATGAGGTACTATTATTTAGCTATTCATCCATCCAAATTTTACCATTTATATTAACAAAAATAAGAGTAAGATATTTTAAATATTATTTCAGTAAGAGTTAACACTCGCTCTTCTTACTCCACTCTTTCCCTTCCTACCCTTTTCTTATAAGGATAGGACGCAAACGGGAAGTGTATTTGACAGAGGACAGGACGCATCGGTAACGAAAATATCCTCGTTCTGTGTGTCCTCTCCCCCGTAGATTAAAGGTTGGTAACGCATCTGCAATTGCGAATGTCTTTGGGCAACTATCACTTTTCTTTTTCAGCAAATTCACCTGAATTTTCCGAAAAAGAAAAGCCGTATAGTCATTTACCACTTTTAAATAAAAAAAAAGGGTTAATTAACAACGAGTAAAATCAAATACTGTTAATTACATGCACTTTCAGTAATCAACGGTAGGAGGCTAAATCGTTCTCATTAAATCGGGAATTGACTGTAATTAAAATTACTATAGAAGTGTGTCAATAATTAGTAATAACCTTTGCTATTTCTAAGGCACCATAGACAATAGCGACACCAAGTGAGACTTCTAAAATAAAATTTATTATCTTTCATTTTTTTAATTTAAATCAAAGTGTTAGGTTAAGCTATTATAAATTTTATATTTCTGTGTCCAGTGTATTTAAGTGAGTCAAAATAAAGTTGAATATCAACAGATTCACAATTAAACCGGCGGTTTTTCGTATTTGCGAAGCCTAGAATTTTTTTAAAGTTTTTAATTTTCCGGCTTGAACGCATTCAGTGCGCCGCTAAATGGCATGCAAGCGTTATTATGAACCTCATATTGAAGCAGAAGTTCGCATTGCCTACGTAACTTTAACTGCTTACTATTGTAAAAGTTGTAATAATGGATTTAATTTTTTTAGTTGCTATTATTTCTTACTTTAATCAAGTGTTAAAATGAATTTAAGTTTTTATAAAGATACGCGACCATTGGTCCGGACCGGACGCACTACACGCACGGGCCGGATTTTAGTTTAATCTGTATGATTTCACATAGCACTACGTTCATTATCAGCTCCGCCCGCATCAAAAGGCACCATTTATCAACACGCTATTAATTGCGCGCCGTGTGTACAATGCGTCCGGCGCAAGCCGTTGTACGCGTACCTTAACATTAAGTAAATCAGTTATGTGTGGATCCTTAATGGTTGTCAGAAGCTAAAAGAAACCCTTTTGAGAATTGATATAAGGATTTACTGACCGTAGACGCAAATTTTTGTGTTATATTCATTCTTTTCTGGTAAATAGGAAATGTGAAAGATAATATGCCTACATTAATAGATTTATAGTTTTAACTAAACCAAAACTTGTTTGCATATTTAAGAAATATATCTATTTCTATAGTATCTTTTTCAATATTGTCACCGCAACAAATTTAACAAAATTGGTTTTCGTAAAACAGTGTCGAAGCTTTGAAGTTATCAAAGCGGCGATCACTCAGAGATCGGCTAGTCTTCATGAAAAATGCATTGTATAAAATAAATCTGTATTCAACCGCACGAAAGCGATTAGCAAAAAGTGGCTTCGAAAAGACGGCTAAATAAAGTCACGGAAGTCAAGTCAGTGAAATGAGTTTTTTTTTCGACTGACCTTAAATTCAAAGAAACGAGGAAGATTACTTTTTTAAACCGGAAGAGATTTAATAGGAAAACTCTTAGTGTAAATAATATGATCTTCAACTAAACGGTTTAAAGCAAACAATAATATTATTATATTTATGTCCACAAAAGTATAACAAAACATTAGGGGGAAAAATGACAAAAAATCGACTTAGATTTGGGTCGAATTTTTGCTTTAACATTGCAATTTAGCTATAGTGAGAGTGTTTATACAATTGTTGAACTCCAATCGTACGAAAAAAGTAATATTTTTTACTGATTAAATCGAAAATCGACCTAATATTTTCAAAAGTATTGGCCATTAGTTTTATGATTGTGTTGTAAACTTGAAGTACAGAAGAGAGTCGTCTACAGACTACAGATATTTTCTGCCGAGGCATTGTTTTATGGCAGCGAATAAACGGTAGTTTACTATTGTTTAATTGCAGCGCAATAATAAAAAATCTCTATTGTTGTCGTAAGCAGTCTTCTCTTCGTAATTGCTCGCTTATTTTACTCAGCACCATTTCTTATTACATTTTAAGAATTTTTCCATGCAGTTTATTAATTAAAATACAGAATTATTAATTCAGTTCGACTTAGTTTGTTTCTAATATATAACATCGAAAGACACCCTCGCTTAGGCATAGAATAGTTATTTGTTGCTTGAGTTATATTATTAAGACAAAAATTATTTTAGAATGAATGTATCGCCAGTGGTAATCGACGATAACATAAACAGAAAAAAATGTTAAAAAAGGATATCGGGTCTGTACTGGGCGGTATTTCCAAACCGCTACGACGTATGGTCCTTAAAGAAGCGAGCTTATCGCCATCGCAAAGGTCGGCAACGCATCGTCGGTTCTCTGGTATTGCAGATATCCATGGGCATCGATGAATACATCGGTGTTCCTGCTGCTCGTTCTCTTAAAAAAAAAACCTTTCCCTTTCGGAGTATTGTAATGAACAAAATAATTGTTGACAATGGATTTAATATAAGAGTGCTTATAAAAATACTTAATTAGACACAAAGTTTTGCTTTTTGCAATTGCTAATTGTGAGTACCACGCATTGATAGCTCCAAGCGTTTTAACTTGAACCAGGAAAATTAACGAGTTTAAAGTTTCTCGGAAATTGTTAAGCGTTTAAACAATAAAAACACAATTAATATTTTGTTTTTGTTATCATTTCATTATTCCCTGAGTTATTTTCCCTGAATTTACACAAAATATATCAAAAAATATATTAATGAAAACTAGAGCATTTGCTAATGCGTTACTTATTAAACCACTTTATCATCTACTAATGCATATTGATATTTTAAAAATTTCAATCACGATTTTCAGTTGACAATTCTCATTTCCATTTTTAAGTAGACACAGCGTATCCTTATCTTCTAGGATTTATTACACAACAAAAGATGACGAAGTGCAGTGAGCGTTGAGCAGTGAATGGGAATGATGGATCTTGCTGCAGTAATGATGTCTGCAGGCTAGCGGCCATTGTTGCACATTCGCTGCACTCTGCAATACTGCATTCGTGCAATAAATTTCTCGCCGCTCACACTGTTAAATATGAACAAATAGAAATTAAATTATTGGTATTTTTACATTTTATTCAGTATAAAGAGTTTTATGTCAATGAAAATATAGATTTATAAAAAAAAAACAATATTGTTTCATCAAATTTGTTATTAAAAATGTTTTTTCGCCATAATTTTTCGCGTATTAATTTCTTAAGTATTTGTTTTATAGCGTTCAAAAGTAATAAATGTAAACTATATTAAATTTTATAGCATATACGTGACTAGCAATCACATAGTTAAAGAAAGCGATAGCGCTTGTTAACGAAACATACAACTTTGACACTGAGTGTGCAATTTTGTAATTTTGTGCTATAAAATGCAATTTAAAATAATTACCTTAACAATATACGTTAATAATGTCTACATTAAGTACGTCAAAAATTTTATTATTAACTATGTTATCGTGTAACTGAGTCACTGTTTGCCTTGAAGAGGCATTTACAGCTTCACCGGGCTTGAGGTGTTCGGGTGCAGATGGCGTTTAGCCTGAACCTTGTTTAAGATTAACAAGACCCGAGGGCTCGCTCAGGAGCCTCTGTTAGAGCTGTATTAGGAGGCCATCGAGTTCTAAGATAGCTTAGGTGGACGTTCCGTGGAGTGACGGCTCAAGAGACCCCGAGAGGTGACCTCGGCTTGGACTGTCACTCATTACACGTTTAGCATGCCGATTCAAGGGTGCCCGAGAGGTCATATTGGTTGTATACTTTAAGGATGCTATGAAATTGTTATAAATAAAATTAAAAAAATCCTATCAAATGTATTTGCTTCGTTTGGATAGATTCAATCCTTTTATTATATCACTTTTCTTCATTTTTCCGTAACAAATTATAAGGTAACTATAGCCCGTAATAGGGATAAGTGGGACACATAAAAAATTTAAAACTCCTTCATACTAGTATGCTATTACGATACATTCTCTGTTACTTTTGATTCAATTTAATAACATGTTTCGAAGTAATATAACACTTGCTTCATATCACAAGACTGCATTTTTCACTTACGAAGCCATCGACAACGATGCAATAAAAATGAAAGCAATATCAGAGTGTTTTTCTGAAAATATATTAGCTTGGAAAATATTCGGAATATGGTTTGGAAATAACCCAAATAAATATTATAAATATTACTCTTTTATATTCCTTAATTTAACTTTAACGATATTTAATTTATTACTGACGATAAATCTATTCTATACTTATAATCAAATTGAAAATTTACTCCATGAAGTCATTTACATTTTTACTGAAATAACTGTAGTAGCTAAAGTTTGTATGGTTTTATTTTGGAGGAAAAAAATAATACTGGCATTTGCTATTCTTGATTCTGAAGAATTTGAAGGTATCGATAAGATATCCAAAGAGATAATAGAAAATGACGTATTAAAATACAAAAACATCATGAAATTTTATATTGTCTTTTGTAATTTGTCATACTGTTTAGCAATACTACCGGGTTTTGTTGATTATTTGCTAGGAAATAATTCTGAATTTCCTATATCTAGATATAATTTTCTTAGTTATGAAATTAAAAAGCAATTTTATATATATTTATATTTATATCAAAGCTTTTGTATTTATGGACATATGGTTTATAACGTTTCTATAGATACGTTAATAACTGGCTTTATTCATTTAACAATCAATCAATTAAAGGTACTTAAATATAAGTTGAAAAGATTAAATTTAAAAAAACAAAATGAAAATGTTCAAATTTGGAGTTTGAATAATTGTTTAAAACATTTTGATGTTATTGTAAGGTGATTTGTTATTGAAAAATCAATTTCTATATGTTTTAAAAATAGCATATCTAAGTGTATAATTATTTTTTTGCAGATATCAAGCTATCGTGCAAGAAATAACAAGTGTCACATTATTCATAATCTTTGGAATGGGATCTGCAATTATTTGCGTCACATTATGTGGATTTCATTTGGTTAGTGTTAGTTACGGTATTAGCCTATTATTATTGTGGAAAATATTAAAGAAACTAGCTGTAGCCCGCGACTCCGTCCGCAAAGAATTAAAAAGGAAACTTAATTAGTGGTCTATATGTTCGTCCAGACTATGTTACAAATTTCATCAACATTTTTTGAACCATTTCGGAAATACCTTCTAAGAAACATCCATCCTTCCATCCTCCTCCTCCATGCCTTGGGCAGGGTAAGGGGTTTTTATGGAGGAGGAAACGCATATGAAGGGGAAATATTCTCTTCATGTGCGTCTCTCCTCCGTCAATTATAGGTAGTCAATGAATCTGCATTCGTATGACTATCGGCAGCAGTCGCTTCGCTGTTTCGGCGAATACAGGTGGCAGCTTGCTCGTTTACCATCTTATATTATAAAAAAAATATCCTGTCATGATTTAATACTGACTATAGATAAATCTTTTTCAGAGCACTGATGTCAACTCGTTATTATTTATTTTCACGTACCTAATAGCCATGGTGTTGATTATATTTGTACCGTCATGGTTGGGCACTCAGCTTATGCATGAGGTAAGGTATATTTCATGGTTATTTTTCAAAGGGTGGGAAGGGAAAAAGGACTAAATAAGGGGACGCACACTCGTCAGACGAAAGGCGGAATTGTTTCCACTTCACGCCTGTCTTCTGTGTGATCGTGGTATATCACCGGTCGAGCCGGGCCAATTCGTGCGAAGATTTTTAAGCGGGCTCTACCACTGTTAAAAATTTGCATGTATTGTTGTTAATAAGTAACCTTTTTCTGTTATTATAAATTGCAGAGTCAGGAATTAGTTTCTGCAGCGTACAGTTCTGATTGGATGAACAGTTCTAAAGAGTTTAAAAGTAGCTTAATTATTTTTATGGAGCGAACGAAAACACCAATGTGTGTAGTCGGCATGAAAATGTTTCTGTTATCTCTCAACACCTTTATTACGGTAAATATATATTTTTTTTATTTATGAATATAATTTGATTTTAACTTTCATTTGTTTCAATTTCATTTGTTACAGATAATGAAAACTGCTTACTCTTTGTTTACTTTAATAAGTAGATTTAGGAATATGACATAGTAAGGGTTATGTAATTCGAATCGTTAGTTATTTACATTGTAATTTGTCTGTTGTTCAATGTTCCCTATCTTATTGGAACTCATCTGAAATAACTCAAGCTGTTTTATTGCCGATTGAAATTTAATTTCCCTTTATTTATAGCTTCTGTTATAACGTTATTTTTCTTTTCAAGATTGTATTGTCGACATTGTTGTATGATAGAATGTAATAGTGATTTATGAAGCTTTTTTTTTTAGATGATTTTAGATGTAATTTAATTCAATAAATATATATTTTTTTATTTTATAATTAGCTTATGTAGCATTATTGGGTTTTCTATTTTTATATCATAAAGTGACAAATGAGCATGCAACCTGAATTCGCCGAAATATCGAAGCAATCACTGCCCATAGAAATCCGCGATTGAACAGCCACAGAAAAGGAATATTTCTAAAACTCAAACGCTGCAAATGCTTAACAATTAAAAAGATTAATTTTTTAACTTAATTGAAAGTGAATTATGATATTATGTATAAGTTACTAGAAGCTTTTCAAAACTCAAATGTAATTAAGTAATACATTATTGTAATGCTAAAACTCCATTTTAATCACATCATTACTAAGCAAGTCTTGTATTAGCATTCTCAGCAGTAAAAGTCTGGGAATAAGAAATATTTTATACCAACATAATTAACGAGAAATTGCAAATTTAATTTCCTTTATTCGTTTTATTTAGCCGTCGCGATATACGTCGCCGCAGTGTAATTAAGAAATAAAATGTTTCAGTAAGAAATATTGATTGCGATCATAAATATGTCGAAGGAAAGCTGTTGGATGTTGTACTAACCCTTTTAAAAGCAAAAAGGCCAAGAAGTATAAATTATCTAAATGTTTAATTTTGAACATAAGTATTAATCTGTTAGATTATTTGGTATTCTTTACTAGCGGTCACCTGCGACTTCCGTGCGGTATAAAAAACATAATTAGTAGCTTATGTGTTCTTCTAGACTATGTTTCATATGTATGCCAAATTTCCATCATCCAACATCTATCCATCCAGCCAAACATTCGCATTTATAATATTAGTAAGATTAGACTAGTGAAAAAACTAAAAAAATATCCTAGGCATTCACGCTCGTTTATAGGATAGCTTAGCTCTTTCTTACAATTTTACTTCATCATCATCAGCTCACTATACGTCCCCACCGAGGGGCTCGGAGCCTACCCTACGTTAAGGGTGATTAGGCCATAGTCAACCACGCTGGCCCAATACGGGTTGGTTAACTTCACACATATCTTTGAAATTTTTCTCAGATATGTGCAGGTTGCATCACGATTTTTTCACCGTAAGAATGTTGGATAAATGTACATATGTAAATCGGAAATCGAAAAACACATAGGTACATGGCGGGATTCGAACCCAGGACCTGCAGATCGCAAGTCAAGTGCTTAACCCCTGAGCCACCGACGCCCCCAATTTTACGTGCATTAATTTATTACTGTGGTTACGTGTACTAAGTAATATTATTTTAGTTACTAGGTAGACGTATGTATTAGCAATTGACGGCAATTCCCCGATCGCTCGCTAATGAGACCGTGGAGCAGGTGTTGCGACCAATTAGCGAATACGTGAGGTTTAAACGTTTCTAAACGTGTCTACGTACAGTCGTTACTACGACTAATAATAGACGCGTAATATTCGTAAATCTAATACTTAGATTAAGTAAGTTAACGTTCTATTTTAAAAGCTATATAAACGTCTTAAAATTATATTTAAATTATAAATTGACTATTGTCTTATAACAAATAAGTTTTTCAACACAATATAAAGTAAAAATTTCGTAGGTTATTGATGCTTTGTCTAATTCTAGTCTTAGTCTAGTTGAGTGGCTGATGTAACTTTTTATAATAAATGATATTGCTTTAGTTAATCTATGTTTTAATCAAGAAAATAGATTTTATCAGATCTTGTCCGGATACATTAACATAATATTCTAAGAATGTTACTCTACAAATGTTCGGATAATTTAATTCACGAATTTCTGACACCTAAGTATCTGTATAAAACATATCGTCATCCCTATCTTTTACCTTTGGTAAAACAGAGATAACAATATGTTTAAAAAAATATTCTCAGAAACCCACGGTATAACTGCGATATGACGTCGCGGGAGTGAATACATTAGGCCTGTATACATACCCACGTTCTATTTTACTCGCTCACTAAAATAAAAGTGGCAATGTGGAGCACTTTAGTTGAAAGTTTTCAATAGCAGTTCAAACATCATATTATACGACATACAACGCTCTCCTTTTAGTCTTAAAATCGAGGCCGAACCTTGTTCTTAAAGCGCCATATTGACTTCTTTAAAAGCATCGTTGTTAAGTTTGTATATTTATTTAATTCAATATTAGAACTATTTTGTATTTAAAAATTAAATTAAATTAATTATTGTTTATAGTTTATTTATTTATTATACACGTACAAATAACAGATAAATTATGCAACATTAACATAAATAATACAATGTACAATACAACCCACCCTTTTTCTCATAAGGAAAGGATGGGAAGTGGAAGTGGACTTTCCGGATGAGAGGATGCATGGATGGGGAAAATATTTTCTTTATGTGCATCCTCACATCCGTCAATTAAAGGTAGGCAACGCATATGCATATGTCAATGGGCAACGGTCACTTCGCTATTTCAGCGATTTCAGGTGGCCGCTCGCTCGTTTGCCACCTTATGATATAAAAAAAAACAATAGAACTTATAATTTATCCAATAACAGATGTACAACATTGATACAAAACAAACAAGAAGTAGAAAACAAAAAAAAACAAAGCACAAAAAATAACTCAACATTATATCTGGGTCTATGTTTATGTAGATTTATATTGTGATTTAATTTAACAACGCACTTGAAATTAGTTGAGTAACATTAAAGCTCCAAACTAAACAATTTTAGGCGATTCGTTGCTCGTTTGCCTCCTAAAAAAAACTGTCTTCCATATGTAAGTTCTATATAAGAACTGATATGAGTTAGTATAAATTGTTATATTATCTTTATTATTCATATGAGATTTGTTGAACAAAGAGATTTCCCAACAGAAGCCTAGTTGCGAAAAGTTTCCCACTAAACTTTGTCGACCAATTTACAGCATTTCCCTTTTAGAATACAACCACATTTTAAGTCGTTGTTTCCCAGCATGTTAAGCTACTCTAAGTATAATATACGTTATAAAATATAAAACTTTATCTTATACTTAAAGAGTCTGTTAATATTATAGAATACTAGCTGTCACTCGCGACTCCGTCAACCATTTAATTAATTATTAATAGTCAAATATTAAGTTCTTCTCTGAAATTAAAATTAGTTTGGATTCGATTTTTAAAATTCAAATTAAGTGAAAATTGTTTCCTGCATATCGGGTAATAAAAGTAAAATATGGGACATGCACGAACTAGAGCAGTGCAATAATTTTGCCTTGACGAGAAAATAAATAAAATTTCAGCGCAGTTCGTTTAAATTATCTACGTTGAATTATTCAACGGTAAGCAAAAATAAAAACTAAATAAATACACATAGGTACAATAATTGTTCAATGAATGCCAATAATAGAGATATTTATCAATTTTTACAAAGGCAAAAGTTATTTGTAATGTTCGTAAAAAAATTTCTCATACAACATTTCTTATTGCAATTCCAACAATTTATCTTAATGAAAACTAAAAAAAAAACGTCAAAGACGATCGAAAGGGAAATCTATGGGCATTTATCGCTTGTCGTCCCCAGTTAGAATGGCACTGCATACTTCAATGTAGACAGGGGTGGCCAGACACAAAAAGATGCGTAGTTACGTGCGTTAGGTGTTGGTGGAAATATTAACGATGGAAGCTGTATCGGAGGATTCGTGAAATTAGATTTCAGTAGGAGTTTTTATGTAAGAGAATGGGGAGATTTCGTCTTTTCAAAGGTCGTGTTTTGTATCCAAGTAGTAGGAAATGACCTTTCTTACTTTAACAATACTGTAAACCCTGTACTAGTGACCATGTATTTTAATATTTTTTTTGTTAAGTTAATGATCGGTGATTAATTTTACAGTGTAATTTATTTACGTGATAAATACGAAAATTGTGTTAACAGCTGTGAACGCAATAAGATAATTCCTTATAATATTTATTATTTTCATTAATTTTTGGCACGTATTCGTTACCTCGGGGCGTATAAAAATTGCTGCAGCACAACTTTTTGGCATTCATTGAAGTAAAAATAAATACTTTTTTTAAGTAATAATGCATTTAACTTAATCAACTTAACTAGTAAAGTCAATTTCATTGCTTGCTATTTTGTATCGTCATACTTACTTTATGAATTAAGTTATATACTAAGTAAAAGAAACAAAGAACAGGATTTTTTTTAATCCCTCGAAATTTAATAAACCAATTACGAGCCTCTTTGTATCTTAATTATGTTTCAGTAAATTAGTATTTGTTTATGTTTTGTTTCCATATTAATCAAGCCTTAATTAATTTTAGTTTCATAAGTTGTTCATAGATGGCGCTTATCGTAATTCATCCTCAAGAACCAAAAAAGTAAATCTTCGTAGCTCTAGATGGCGCTTGGAAAATGAAAATGTTTAATTTGATAACCACGTCAGACACAGAGCTGTTCGCAAGACCGCATATCGCGTATGCCAGGTAATAATAATTTAAAAATATAGCGAGGAATCGCAAGCCTTTCCGATACAAGCATACTTATTTATTATTGTTCTTAATACCGAAGAATTAAACTAATCGTGTCATCGTGGAGGTGCGGAAACTATAGCTTCCTATTACTTCTACAACTACTAAGTATTTTCAACTTTCTCCAATATCTACGGTACGCAATATGTGTGATGTATGACCATGTGGGAGTTGAAACTCTTTTATTAAAACATATATTAGAGCACGCGTCCCGCGGGTGACACTGAATAATACTCTCCTTGTTGCTACAATTCTTTGCACAGCTCTACCTATTT